TCGTTCAGAGACGCTAAACAGTTTTTTTGACAGTCTCTCTCAGCGACACCAGAGAGACTCGATGAGAGACGGAGACTCGAGTCTCGTTTTCAGAGACTCTGAGAGACTGAACATTTTTATCTCGGGAAAATATGAACTAGAGTGGATTTCGGTTATAACGACAACGAAGGGACCACTGTAATTTCGTCGTTATATCCAGAAGTCGTTACAGGCAAAGTTAAAGAAGATACAGACACACACTGTTTTTCAATTTTGAAACAATTTTCGCCTTTTTTTAACAGTAAATGTACATCTGGAAGTCACACTTATTCAAAAGTTTACTAAACACCGTTGCTACTCAGAAACAACGGTAAAGGTCACCACACTTGTTGACTATTTGTGTGAATATAAACAAAAGATAAGAAAGGGATTTGTTACAAATGATCCATTAAAAACAGTTGGTAGACCCGAACTCGGCGTTACATCCGAAGTCGCTATAGCCACTTGAATTTTATACTAAAGAATGCTTTAAATTCAAGGGACACAAAGGTCGCTATAACCAAGGTCGTAATAAATGAAATCCACCGTATATAAGGAGTTGAAGTGAGAGAGTACTTTGTTACTACGTGTATGAGTATTTCGAGAATGGAATAAATACCTGGGGTTGTTACGACAACTGCACTAAGGTTGATTTTATAAAAAAATTAATAGCTTTAACCCCATTTTGATTTTGAATTCACACTGAATATAAAGAGGGGGAAGATGGGGAATTTGGGAATACGAGCAGTTAGTTCTTAGCAGTTGGTATTCAGGGAGACATGCAAAAAGAGTTAGTTTTAATGTTTTTAGTCTAATTTTGCTAATTGTGCAACATTCAAGATTATTTTTTATATTTTGCGTCGACAGTTCAGTAATCAGAGAGAAAAAAGAATAAAGAAAATCTTCAAAGTTTGGTCGGTTAATTTAGAAATCAGGAAGCTCAGAGCAAGTAACATAAGTATGTACTTTGTATGCATGCTTCCGGAGGTGAATTACCATATTTCTGTAACTTGCCTCATTATCACAGAGCTTTCTTGCGTGCAAATACGTATAACGAGGTGTGGCGGTCTAACGAATAGCAGCGAAAATTTGTAACCCTTAAAAGAAATTCAAGAACGACGCACATTATTAATACCGTCATCAAGTTACCGACGAAATTGTCAAACGACTTTGAGAAGACACGAAATATTCTTGAGATAAAATTGAATATTTTAGTCTGATAAGGATAAGACAATTATACAGGATGTTTCTGAAATAAGCTTACAGGAGGTGATAGAACATTATAAAACAAGAAAATTATGTAAACGTTTAATGGTTTGAAAGTCCATAGTTTTCGAGAAAAACGTATTTGAAAGTACGAAGGCCAGTCCGGTCCTGGTGGGGTTACGTAAGAAAATAAGACATTGCAACGCTGCATTCAATCAGCTGCAGCATCCGTGTTGTACGAATATTTATTTTGTATTTTGGTGTTCTTAATGCAATATCGAGCTGTACTTTAAATACTACTGTATACTATCGGCGCTGAACAAGGTAGGTAATTATTTAATTAATTGTTAACGTGATGAGCGCCTAAACATTATTATTTGTAGTAGCGTAGCAGTGAGCGGTTGATATATATTGTATTAGTTGTTCCACAACCGTCACTGTTTACATTTTTCATCGAGTCAGTTGCTTATTTGTTATTACAATGCTCTATACGATACCACTGCACAACCAGGGCCGGCTTTGGATTGCAACGCCGTCTGCTTTTCGTACAATTTTTTTGTTTCCGCCTGTAATTGTTCGAGTTTTTGAATAAATTTGTTGTGAAACTAATATACCAAGTGCTTTTTTTGAGACATTACAAATTAAACACTATAATAGGACCTTTCGCCACATCTAACAAAACTGTTTTAATATATGTATTTAACTTCCACACAGGAGAAGAAGATAGCAAACTAAATAATTGTGAAACATAAATATATGCATAAACAAAATGGATAGGGTGAGTCTGTTCCGCATATGTATCACATTTTGGTGTCGTGTAGACATGGATACATTTACTAATTACCCAAATGGGATTGTTTATCAAAGCAAGGGAACGAACTTATACTAAACATTAAAGGGTAGTGTTAAGAGCTTGGATGTAACCTACTATCACAAGGCAACAGGCACACCATAATAAGGATGTATGTAGACAATTTTAAAACGCCCGACAATTGAAGGAAAGCTTGAGTAGTTATTTGTATGTATTTGCTTTAAGATTCTCTGGAAAATTAGATAAAGATTTTAAAACGGTTTTAAAGCAGTATTTTTTTGCGAATAGTCGCTCATTGTACCTTTAGAAGAGCCTGTTATTATGCAAAATGCGAAGGTTTTCTTAATAACTCAAAAACCTGTTTGAAGATCGAGCTTTCTCCTGTGATTGCCTGATACAATTATCGCCTCTGACCCTAAATTTAGGTATACATGGTCTGTTCAAAAAGTGTCGCGAATTTTTGTTTTTTCAAAAATTATTTGTTTTTTAATGAAAATATATTTTGTCAATTTCGAAGTAATCCCCACCAGATATTATGGACTTCGTCAACGTTTTTTTTAAACCTCGAACCACTACAAAAAATCATTTTTTGTGATCTTGTTCAACTCGTCCTTCGATGCCGTCTTTATCTCCTCAATCGTAGCGTAGCGCTGTCCTCTCTTGGACCTCTTCATTTTTGAGAACAAAACAAAATCACAGGGGGGCAGATCTGTGGAATACGGTGGTTGCGGCATTATGAGTGTGTTGTTTTTGGATAAAAATTCGCGCACAAGAAATGATGTGTGAGCAGGGGCATTCTCATGGTGCAAAAGTCAATTTTTGTTCTTCCACAAATCCGGGCGTTTCTGGCCGATTACTTCGTGTAAATTGCGCATATTTTGCAGGTAATAGTCCTTACTGATCGTTCTACCCTGTGGCAAAAACTCATGATGCACAGTAAGAAAACTGTAAGTAAAACCTTCACATTCGACCTAACTTGGCGCGCTTTTCTCGGTGTTGGTTCTTGCGACAGCTTCCACTGGTACGGGAACCTATCATTCATCACCAGTTATCGCACTCTGGATCAAATTTGGGTCGTCGTGGACAGAATCCAACATCTCCTTAGCAATGTTAATTGAGTAATTTTGTTACGACCCGCCTCATCTCTAAATCATTGGTAAAAATCGAATGGCAGGAGCGAATCGATGATGTTTGGGTCATCAGTGTCTTCTTTGACGGTGATTCGACGATTGGCCAATACTATTTTGTTCACTTCATCAATGTATTCGTCTGTTGTTGACGTGCTCGGGCGTCCAGCACGCTCTTCGTGGTTTACATCTTCTCGGCCCTCTGAGAACATTTTGTACCACCGATAAACGTTGCTTCGGTCCAAGGTAGCTTCACTTTATACCACAGTCAACATTCGAAAAGCGTCCGCGCACTTAATTTTGTTTTTTACACACAATTTGATACAGATCCTTTGATCCATTTTTTGGAATACGCAAAAATCGAAGACGCCAAAACACGTGCAAACAAAGCAGATGTCAAAAATTAACCGAACTTGTCGGTGTTAGTGAGAGACATGAGTATCAGCATAACGCCACAAAAAAAATCGAAAATCGAGTATGCGTAACCGGCGGAAATTCAAAATTCGCGATACTTTTCGAACAGCCCTCGTAGAATAGATGTCTCTAACTCTATTACCTGCAATTCCGGAAAACTCTGCCTGACTATGAGCGTCCACATGTTATACAAGAGACAGGCAGTGACGACCATGAGCCAGTAAAAGTAGAAATTTTCATCGGGGTTGACGACTGTGAGGGGTTTCTTCTTCTGGCGTCTGCGACGTCTTGGTGCGCCGGACTTAGTACCGTCGTTGTTACCCCCTTCGCTTCCTGTATCTTCAACCGTTTCCTGCGTTTCCGGAATCTGTCGTGTCGAGAATCTTTTCAAGAACGAATCTTCCCTCTTCAACGGAGGTTTCTGAAACAAAAACAAACTTATCTAGTAAACATTTTCCAAACAAAGTTTCAATTAAAAACAGCATCAATCTTAAAGATGCCCGTAAGATTGTAGATATGAAAAAAATACAACGTGTAATTAAAGTGAAAGTGAAACTTCTTCAAACACAAACATACCGGGATAGGGGTTAAGGAATTGGTTTAATGGTATTATTTGTACACTATGCTTCGCACGGGTGCAATACTGATAGTAAATATACTATAGAATGTCTTTATATACAACAATCGCAGCTTTTTTGTCATTAGACAATACAAACCGGCCGGTACCGCCGCAACCGCTATGTCCCTGCATTTTAAGTCTGTAATACCTTTGAAAATATTAATTTAAATTACATGTTGTAAAGGGCCATATTGATCTATATTAAATGCACAATGTATTTAAAAGTACTTAATTGGATAAGGATTAATGCT